AAAGGTACAACATGTCTGATTTGATATTTAAGTGTCACTGTGTCTAGGATAATGTCCAACACATATAGGTACTCAAAAATATTTGTTGAATGAATGACTATCAGAGAGCTTCACAGATTATTTCATTACATTATTTTGCCATGTTATTATAAGAGTAATAGAGTTACACATACATTTTTGTGAATCAGAGAGTATATTTTCTAGAATTGGTCTTAAGCCAGGAGTAGAGTACTCCATGCATCAATGTGAAGGGCAGAATGAAAGATGGTGTAATAATTTTATAATGAAAAGCTTAGGAATTACATATCTGTTAGGAATGGTATCTGTTTTTGGTAATATACAGTCATGAGCCTGTTCTGAAAACGGTAATAGTAAAGATTTGTCTGAGCTTAGGAGTACAATAAATCAGATTGGATGGTTAATGAGCATTTAAAAAAAAATAGACAGAATGAATAAGACCTAGTATTTGATAGCTTAACAGGTGACTACAGTCAATAATAATTGAATTGTACATTTAAAAACAACCAGAAGACTGTAATTGGATTGTTTGTAAGAAAAAGGATAAAGGCTTGTGAGGATGGACACCCCATTTTCCATGATGTGATTATTATGCCTTGCATGCCTACATCAAAACATCTCATGTACCCCACAAATATATATACCTATTAGGGACCCACAAAAATTAAAAAAAAAATCAGATTGAACACCCTTACCCCAGTCATTTATATTATTCTAATTATTTGCATTTAATATAACCAGTCTATCAGATCAAGAATTTTGTTCAAATATTTAATAATAAAATTATTGTTAATTTATTTAATGCCACATGAGCTCAGGCTAGTTGGAAGACCAGTTCTTACTGTACTGTAGCTAAAGAAAACATAACTTTGATACATAGTTCTAAGGGAAAGCTTGTTTTTTTTCCCCCTAAATATTTGATTTTGGCTACCTGAAAATGACATCAGCCACAGTGAAAGACATGTCATTTTGCTCAAGTAAGGCTTGCCATAATACTGAGGTACGCAACAGGGCAATTCTGCAGAATTTTATAGTGTCTTCAGCTTTGCAGTCTGTATGTCACTCTATGAAGAGTGAAGCTTCTGTGCCATGAAGTACTTGAATTGCTGATTTGTTTTGGAAGGATATGAGAACAGAAAATATCTATGAAAGTGCCTGGCATGTATCAGGCATAAAATATCAAAGCCAAAAATTAGGAGACTAATGAACACATTAAAAAATTACAAGTATGTTTCAAACAGAAGACTAAAGGAAGACTTTATAAGACTATATGGAAGGAAAAATGGAAGCGGATTTGAGAATAAATATGAATGGGAGATTTTATAAATGTATACACAGTCTAATGATAATAAAAAGAAATCACTGAGGAGACATAAGTTAGAATATGTTGAAAGTCGTTCCATCTTTGATCTGTGCATGCTGGAAGTTGTGTGGATATTGACCAGACTATCAAATGGGCGTTTAACGTAAGACCCTTATTATTGAGTCTTTTATATTTTACAAATAATTTATATTTTAAAAAGAGTACTGTAGAAATTAACATTTTATTATATTTTAATAATAAACTATAAAAATTCTCCAAGACTTCTAATTCAGCCTAAAAAGAAATATATACCATTTGTGGCTATATAATAATTAAAAACTTATTAAAATTAAGAGACAATTAAAAGGGTAGTATCTAGTGTCAAATAATTTTGAATATTATCAAGTCATTTAAAAAAAGAAACAGCAGAGTTAGGATTTTCAAAGTCCTGGGCCATAAAAATCCTAGTATTCTTATAGTTTATGGATCACTATACTGTTATGAATCCATCTGAGATATGACTTCAAAATGAACATTCGTAGTTAAAGTGCTTCCAGATTAAAACTGTGAAAGCCATCAGCACATACTGAGGGGTTGGTCTTTTCCACTGTGTTCTTCTAGATTCATGGTTTACATAGTAGGTCCTTCCAAGGATATCCTGCCTCTCTTCCCATCCTGGAGGTAGAGGAGAAGGTTCCTGTTGTTGCTGCAAATGGCAAGCAGCATCTGGTTGGTCCAAAACAACCCAGCCAGGCTGAAAAACACGATGGTAGCAATTAAGTTTATGCATGATTTTTTTAACTTTAGAAATTATATGCTAAAGGAAATTTAAAAAGAGATTTATTATACCAAGTTTTAGAAATTACGCATAGACAGAATTAACAATCCTCAATTTTTAAGACCATAATATACTTTATGATAATGAAGACTTTTTTTTTGCAAAAATGGTAACCATTGAAATTTTGTCTAAAATTGTCCAAAACTTTTTCAAAAAAAAAACTTTAAAGGCACAAGCCTGTAAAGTTTCCACCAGGTTCTGCCTGGGTGACAGAACCAGACCCTGTCTCAAAACAA